ACTACTACGACTATACTACTACGACGACGACTACTACTACTACTACTGCTGCTGCTGCTGCTGCTGCTGCTACTACTACTACTACTGCTACTACTACTACCTACTGCCTACTGCCTACTGCCTACTACTTACTACCTACTACTTACAACCTACTACCTACTACCTACTACCTAAAATAGCACTACTGCCACTACTACTACTACTACTACTACTACTACTACTACTACTACTACTACTACTATACTACAACTAGAACTACAAATATTGCAGCAACAACAACAACGACAACAACAACAACAGCAACAACTACTACTACTACTAAAGATATTGACTGGTTCGGAATGTCTTTGCGACAATCACAGGTGGTTCGTTGAGCCGGCCGTCATCTGGGGGCCTCGAAGGCAAACAGTGGCCTGAGTTTCAGTGGGCACCAGCAGCGCATGTTAAGGGACTTATGCGGCACGTGAACCTCTCAGCCGCACGGATAGCAGCCCTGTTCGTAGAGGTCATCGGTACTAGTAGGACAGCGACAGGCAACTGGAAAACCAAGCAGACAAACACACAGATGTTGAAACAGACACGATGCTGTAAGCGTAGAGTGCTGCAAGAAGCGAAGATGTGGACAACTGCGAGCAGTTGTGCAGAGTTAAGAACCGCATTCCGGTAGTAACGACGCCACATGCTCTGCCCTGCAATAGAAGACAGTCGGCAGGACAGCGACATAGGTGGATTCTCTTGAACCTGCCCAATAAGTCGCTAGGTGTGGAGGAAGTGTGTGTATGAAGCGATTTGCGTGGACTTGGGGTGATAGATGCAGCGAGTCCCAGCTGTGCAGGTCCTGAGGATGGATAGTCATGGTCAATATGCAACCTGGCATCTTCGATTCGAAGGAAGGTTGTTACTCCCAGCACTTCCCGTGGAGGTTGTGGCAGTGCTTCCGGGGGCGACCCATGTGGAAGTTTGTCGACATGTCTTCCCAATTCCGAAAGACTCAGACTCCACGGCCGGACCTAAAGACCTTCACAGCACAGCAACTCCCGTTTGCGTTGCATGGCGCGCCCGCCCGTGCTCGCTTCTCGCACACACATGCATGTACCCGGGCGCGGGCGGGCCGGCGGGCAGGCAGGCGGACGCGGGCGGGCGGGCGGTAGGCGGTATCTAGGTGCGTGGCATGCGGAGAGATGACTCCGAGAGGAGGTCGAACATATACTGGAATGGGGTCAAGCAAACTCTGTCACCCAAATCAGTGGTTCTGGTTTGACTATATAAAGGTCTGCTGCCACAGTCTGACGGTTGGTACAGTATGAAGCCATCACAGCAGCAGGTTTCATGGGGAGTGCAGCGTGCGCAGGCGGATGGCAATCTTCTGTGTGGGTGTGAGGTGAGTTTGTGGACGTCTTTGCGCGTGCACGCGGTGTGTGCACACACACACACACACGCATACGCGCACATGCGGATACATGTCAGATACCATCAGGTTGACCCTTTTCAATCTGATGCGTTCTGACTGAAGGTCTCCTCGGCGGAGTTGTCATCTTGGACTTGGTGGCACTAATGGAGTGCAGTTCCGACATCATCGAGATGTTTCACCACATGTACGACCGCAAGACCCCCAATCCCCAAAACGTGGAACTCGAATCCTCAACAGAAAAGCCGACGATGAAACGCTTAGCTACACAGGCTACACATGCAGAAAGGACCAGCCATTGTGCAGCCAGGAGCAGCAAATCTGTCAAAAAGGTCTCATAGCTGTCCGAACTTCGGCTGCGAATGCCTCCTTGGGTCAGAGTCCCCTTCTAAGCCTTCTATTGTGCGAATACCTCTGAAATCACGATCGCCAGACGTGGCTGATTAACGACATGTGCCATCATGGACGGATTGTTCACGAGGGAGGCATTCGCGCGCCAAGGTGCGACGGAATTTACTGCAAGAGCCAGGGTGTTATGCGGCAAAACTGTGCTGTGGTTTGAGACCGCGTGCGACTCCAACAAGTTGAGCACCGGTAGCCTGGCTCTGAAGGAGTGTAGTTGGCTGGCAGGATTCAAGACCAGCCGCTGACCAGCCTACATGAAGTGGTGTGCACATGAGGGTTTGCCGAGCATGTATAGAGCTCCTGAGAAGGGTTGGTTAGCGTGCCTTTGAGGTCTCCGTTCGAGAGCGGTATATAGTGATGAAGACGCGTCGTATGCTTAACATTTTATGCGATCTCGCATGCATTTACGACGGGTCGTTGATGCATACTTGTGCGTCGTTCTCTTTGGTGGAAGTGCTTTCGGCTACGACTGCGACGGGTGGCCTGATCGGCTCGTCAGGAAATTTGGAGATCCGGTGATCCCAGCCAGGAGGCTGTTGAAGGTGGAGAGAAGTTTGGAGGATCTTTATCTCCCACAGCCCCGGAGAAATTCCAGCCGTGGACTCTTCCTTGTACTGGACCTTCGTGGGGCACGAACGGCGGACGACACGCAAGGTGTGATTCGGGCTTGGGCCGAGCTGTCAGCACACTCGCTGCTGGCCTTGCGCGTCTCTAAACCCACCTCTGATGTGCTACAGCTCTTGCGCCAATTCTTTTTCGCCACGCAGCAGAGACATTGGTACAAGAAGCCAGGTCCTATGCCTGCCATCAGCAATGCAGACGAAATTAGCTGCGACCCTTGCGGCTGCCTTGCTCAGAAAGCCATTTCTGCAAACTTGCCCCCACAGGACTATCACAACGCAGCTGCCAACTACTTAAGATGGGAAGCGCGAGTGAGAGGCCAGCACCCATTTTTTTCAGAAGCCCTGAAATATCAGACGGACAAAGTGACCTATCACCGCTATGAGCTGTTCTACCACCGGACGCTGCCCAGACGCCTAGATCATGATGGTGGTGCCGGATGCTTTCTGGAGATTGGCTTCGGCTGCGTTGCATTCGTTCGGGGGGTTGCTCTCTCTGCAGGCATTTGGCCGGTCGTCTTTCCAGGTGCCAAAGTGCACATTCTGGAAATCGACGGGCCCTGCGTTCAGAATCTTTCGACCTGGCTTCAGAAGCAAAACTACAGCGTTCATGTAGTGGATGCAAGCGCGGTTCTGGAGCTGGAGCGGTTGAAACATGACGTTTTCCAGCGAGGATGCCCGCAGGGGTTGCTCAGTGTGGTCGTCGACGACGGTTCACACAACAGCTCCGACCTTGTGACCACTTTCCTGAGCTTGTATCCCTCCTTGAAGCCCGGAGGCCAGTACTACATGGAGGATCTAGGCCTCACCTCCTACAACGTTTATGATTCCCTCGAACCCATGACGACCAAAGGGCAAGAACGACCAGGCACGGCCTTCTTTTTCGTTGCTTCCCTTCTCCGCGGTCTCTTCGCCAAGTGGCCTCGGCCCTATGCTCCCTTCCAGGATGTCGGGCTCCTCCGCTGCTGGCTCAACATTTGCCTCATCGAGAAATCTCAGTGAACAGTCTTTGAGAGACCCATGCAGCGCAGCAACATGTGCAGAATATGAGCAAATACATGTTGGGCTTGACCATGCCTAAGTCTACGTCCTGGACGAAGGAGAGATGGGTAGTTAGGTGTAGCTGTCAAAATGAGCACAGCCGTAGTCAATTTCTCAAGAGTATCCGTAGCAAGTTATGTGTGTATCTATTTATCTAATTATTTCTGAAGCAATCCGGCTATCTATCTGTCAAATAAAATCGCTTTCTGCTTGTATTACACACTCCGTAATAATGAAACACATTGGGGCATCCTCCCGAAATCATCCCTTTAAAACCTATTCTGAATTACGGGGGAGGGTTTCGAGGCTCCAAATACCCGTAGAGTAAGAGCTAGAGCAGAAGCAAGAGCAAAGCAAAAGCAAGAGCAGGAGTAAAAGCAAGAGCATGAGCAAAAGTGGGAGCAGCAGCAAGAGGGGGAGCAGGCGCACGAGACGCAGTAGAAGCAGGAGCAAAGGCCAGAGGGTGAGCAAGAGCCCGAGCAGGAGCAAGAGCACAACCCCTCAAAAGTGGCAGTAGAGAGAAAATATCCACCAATGCAAACACTTCGAGTTTTTATTGGGGGGCCCCTCGTTTTGTATTAGCGAGAAACGATTACTCCGGAATTAACCCATAAATGGGTCAATGGACTACATGTCTACATCTGTCTACCTACCTGCCTACCTACCTAACTACAGACAGACAGACAGACAGACAGACAGACAGACAGACAGACAGACAGACAGACAGACAGACAGACAGACAGAGACAGAGACAGACAGAGACAGACAGAGACAGACAGAGACAGACAGAGACAGACAGAGA